GGCCGAGGAGGGGCCGAGGAGGGGCCGAGGAGGGGCCGAGGAGGGGCCGGGCGGGCCGCGGGAAGGCGGAGGCGGCCCGGTCCTGCCGCACTGTGGCCGCATGGTGGGGCTGTGGGTAAAGCAGCGCCGCTGAGGGCACCTGTATTAGCTATGTCTTAGGTAATAAGCCCTAAATCATATTAAAAACTTAGATATTGGTCCCACTTCGCAACTAGAAATTGTGGAATCGTGGTATCATAGAATGGTTGGAAGAGACCTTAAAGATCAGCTTATTCCAACCCCCTCTGTCATGAGGAGAGAACCTTCCACTAAAGCAGGTAAGTAAATCTGTAAGTAAATATGGTTCCAGAGGCCACAGCTGAACAGTTACTGCTTTTCAGCAATGGTGCTGAATGTTGCTTAATTTTCTGGAAGAAATGTAGGTTTGAACTATTTTTTAGTTGCAGTTATGGCATGGAAGGTGCTGAACTGCATTACTGAACCCTCAGACATGCAGTATCAGTCAGTGTTACCAGGGTTTTAAATTCTATTGCTCTCTAACAGGGTCAGTGGTGGTGTCTCACACTGTGGCGAGTGACAAGTTTGAGCAGCCATGTACAAATCAAACATACAGCCTTACCCCCATACAAATCAAACATACAGCCTTACCCCCATACAATTCAAACATACAGCCTTACCACCACACCTGCCCAGCCTTGCTGATCTCTCCTTTCAGCTATCACTAGAGAGAAGACCAGGTGTTCAAGGTCAGGCTGGATGGAACTCTGAGCAACCTGGTCTAGTGGGAGTTGTCCCTGCCCATGGCAGAGGGGTTGGAACTACATGATCTTTAAGGTCCCTTCCAACCCAAACCATTCTATCATTCTCTGATTCTATGATTTAATTTAACTGCTTTCAATTCAGCTTAAGTGACCAGTGCTTGCCACAGGTAACAGCCTTAACCAGGGTAAATCTTTCTGGCCTCTAGTTACGCTTTCCAGCATAATAATGGAAATAGAAGTAGTTAGGAATCAGGTTAGATTGTCCCAAATGCCCCTAAAGATTCTAAGGAACTTTTTGTCTCCAAATTGCAAGTATTTTCTTGCTATATTGTGACTTACGTCTTAAAATGAATTCTTGTTTCAGTATTAAACTGACCGAGGTGAATCCTGTATCACTGAGGCTCATATGCCTGGAGTCCCGGAAGGGGAGGAAATCAGCTCTGTAGTGGAGCTTACTGTGCTCAGCTAGAGATAGTGGCAGGAGAGAGAGGGAAACAGCCAAATAATAGCTGGCATTAAATTTTAATTTCCCCTCTGTGAGAACACTCTTCATGGGCTGAGCCTTCTAGGGTCTGGTCTCCAGTTTTTCAAACAAGGAATCCAGTTATGGGAAATGTTTATGTGTAGAGGAATCTGAGGCTGGCAATAGCAGCCAAAGGCTGTAGCATGGGAATTGGGAAAGAAGGCTGAGGAAGGCAGCCAGCTCCTCCAACAAGAAGCTTTCCCCAACGTTGCTTTTCTGGCCTGCATGTTAAAAAATAGAAATCATTCAGTGAAGTTAAATAACTATATATTAATCTTGTCCTTAACCTGCACAAATTACAATTAAACCTATGCAGGGCTTACCTATTCAAAATGAGAATCCTAATTACTTGGGAGCTGTACAAGAATCAGCTCCATAGGAATAAACAAGTTAGTGTGTTAACACAGACACAGGGCCTTGGTCATGCCACATGTGGCAGCAGCTTCCCTTTGGCAATGCTTACTAGTTGCTTTGGAATTTGCTGCCAAGTATGCGTCTACTCCTACAAAGTGCTGAGGCCTTCCTAAAACATTTGAGAGTGAAGACAGAACCTTCTGGAGCCTGTATGTTTTTACGGGGAGTTGATCACTTCAACCTCAGATACTGGACATAGGAAATCTCTGTCATGCTTCCTGGCTTTAAGTGACCTCTGTTAGCTCTCCCTGAAGGGTGATTACATGGCCCCTTCAAAGATGAAGCATGTGTGAACGTTTGGATGGGATGCTGTTAGTCCTTTTGCTATAAACAGTACTTGTAACCACAGCTTACCTGGAATATGATGGGGAAAATGTGAATTAGTTTTGAAAAATGATGGATGAAATTACCCTTCAATGATGTCATTTAGGGCTTAGCTGAACTATAAGTGAAGAATTGCTCCCTAACCCTCCACAAATTTTTGCAGATTCTATTTAGGGTATGGAAATCGAGTTGGATTATAATAGGCTTCCAGAACTAGTACTAGCTTTGGTGAACAAAACCTGTCATGCCTAGCTGTCAAAATAGCTGGTAAGTGACCAGCACAGTTCTCTTCTCCTTGTTAACAATTACATTTGCATGCAACCACATTTTCTTTTCATTTAAATCTGCGCACCAAAAATCTCGTTATTAAGTGCTCTTCTCCTGTTGAGATGGAAAACATAATTTATAACACTACATCTATCAAAGACAGCACATCATCATCTTTTATGTTGGTTATTTGCAATTCATCAGCCTGGTCACATCTGTGACCACACATCTAAAACATATCCTTTGATTCCCACACTCTTTAAGGAAAGCAATTATCCAAGGCTGTTGTTCGTCACTTGCAGTATGTGTAAAATGTACCACAAATTAGTTTTGAAGTAAAAGAGTGACTTGAATCATAAGCTTTATTTTTGTTAAGCTATACTTCTTTCAAACCTAAGCATGAAATATTGCGTTTTCATTTCAGTAACAAACCACCACGTCCTGCATCCTCAATTGTATGTGCTGCATCATGCTTCAAACTGCCAGATATACTTATGAAGAATTATATGCACTTGTTCATTTCAGCTTGAAGACAAGTATGCTGATTTATTACTCTGCAAAGAATCAGCTGGCTTGCTGTTACTTACGTCTTTTACACATTATGCAGAAGTGATGGATGTTTGTAGCACAACTCAGCAAATAGATGTAGGTATTACTGTGAATACCATCTCAGTCAGAAAACTGTATAAAAAATCAAGTTTGCACAAAAACTCAAAACTGCCCATTGCAAAAGTAAAGTAGCAGCTTCAACATTTATTATTCTCCAATATATCTGCTATCATTGCATAGTCTCAGTAGCCTGTTTGGAATAAAGCATCATTTTCATCAAACATGGATAAGAAAAGCACACCTCAGTTTAGTTGATGCAAACATCCACTCAGAATTTCTTGAGATATGACCATGTTTATTTTCCCCACAGCTCACCCAATATTTCTTTGTATGTACCCAGCAATTATCATCTCCCTGGTATCAATAACACCCAACCAATACTCTGCTGTCACAAAAAATCTTGAGCTGTAGCTCTCGGACTTGTTCTCTGTGACACACAGTTTGGGATCTGTCTAATGACAGCACATCTCTGATGGTTCACTTCTAAATAGCCGTGGCTGTGTTTTATCCTGATGTGCAACATCTGTGGGCTGCACAGCCATGTGCAAATGACATCTTTCACTTTGCAATGAACACAGTGCATTTGTAGGACTGTCAGTACTTAAGGGAAGGCATGACACACTGGGATTTTATCCAGCATTGTAGATAAATACTCCACTTGCACCTTCTAGGTGAGATTGTTCCCACACTGAGATCCTGTAGCAGGAAATCACGAGCTGGAAGTTTCGGATAACTAGCACTGTTTGTCACACTTCCAGCTAACCACTGCAGATTGCATTGAACTTTATGCTGCAAAGGAGAAGAAATCCTACAGCAGTCTTGTATATTCCTTCAATATTCAGAAATATACAATGTTTTACCTTTGATGCTGTAAGGTACAAACTAAGCTTGTTCTCATATAACAAACCCCTCCTTCCCCTCCTGAGGTAACATTAACACTGCACTAAGCAAAGACTAATAAATCCAACCCTACTGAATACTTTTTTGTTGTTTGCATGGACAGGGCAATATTCCTTCAACAACTGGGCTTGCTGGGCTATTTCTGTGCTGCGTGGCATTTCTTTAGCATTTTCTATGCTTTTTTAAAAATAATGCCATATAGAATGGCCTGTAAATTATTTGAGAAATAGATATCAACATTTGCATAACTTTTATTAATTTTGCACAGAGTAGAGGAGCTGGTTGAATTACAGAAGGCCAGGGGAATGTATGAGTAGTTTTTAACAGGTCATCTTATGAAACAGTGCTGCAATATGTGCTGGTTTGCATGCTGTGTATTTCCAATGTGTGTTGTCATTGTATAGCCTGCTGTAGTTCGGCAGGCTCTGGCCTGGACAGCTTATTGCCCATATGTGGAGTTTGCAGACCTGTAGGGATATTAAAAGAAATGGCAGAGAGTATTTTGCTCGGCAGAAAATAATTTGGCTTTTTGATAGAACTTGCAGATGTGCGAATCTGTACAACAAACAATTTATTTTCTTAGAAGTACAAAGACTTAAATGAGTGCCAACAGGGAGATTTTCAATAAAATGGAAGGAGACATTGAACTTCTGAAGCTTCCAGGATTTAGCTCAATGGAGCTTCTCATTGCTTGTTGCCCTGGCCTCCCTCCTTGTGATCTTGGAGGAACTTGGGGAGCAGGAATTTGATAGTTCCAAGCCTGTGTCTGGGTCACAGGAATCAGAGGAAACTGTAATCCAGAAGCTGCTGTTTTCAGTTATATAGAAGGGAGTCGAGGCAAACTGCTGCTCTCAATGATGTGCTGAAGCATCGTGAAGCACAGGAAAGCCTAAGCCTTCTGTGCCAAAGAAGGTGAAAGGGAGTTGTTTATTATAATCCATTTCCTCTTCAACCTCCACTCTAGGGTTTAAAAGCCTCTTCAAGTATTCAATGAAGGAAAATGATCTCTTCTCTTGCCTTCTAATCTTCAGGAATGTCTCGCCCCACCTGAACTGCCTGGCCTTCTTTTTCAGAGACTTCTCTGAGAGGTCACCATATGGTTTCCTTTTTTGTTCTTCACTCTTAACTCTTTTGAGACTTGAAGCAATTAATAATGGCATTATCTTCAAGGTTCTGGATATCTCAGAGGTGAATCCACTGAGACAGGAACCATGCCGAGCTGTTTCAGCTCACTGATCAGTTTCTGTGGTAATGAAGATTTTTGTTTGTGCTGTTTGATTTACTCAGTCGTTAGGGCAGAACACCCTCACGTGTATTCTTTGGAAGCTCTAGAGATCTCGATTTTTATATGTTGTCTTCTTTCCAAAGGTTTTAAATACTGAGAACCACAGCCCTGCAGAATGTGTATTACTGGATATATGCTACGTCAGACGTCTGTGCAGCTTTTTACTTTGGGAGGCAGAGGCAGAACCTGGGGCCAGAGGAGCTGTGGGTTCACAGCATGTTACAGACATCATGTAAGGAAAGAAGGAGCAGGCAGATAGAGGATCTGCTGAGAACAAGTTGGTGCCTGTTTACATTTCTGCAGTCAGTTCTAAAACTGGTGGGTACCCAAGCATCTTACCGTACTCAAAAAATAAACTTTGCTGCTCTTTCTGCTAGTTACTCCAGCAGTATCTGCAGCCAAAGTGGCATAGCCATGTGTTCAGAAATAGGAGAAAAAAAGATAGTGGTGCTGCCCTGTCAAGTCAGTACTGTACTTGAACATACCTTGCAATTAGCAGTCTGTCTGATATCCCTCGGGGGCCATTTCAATACTATTAATGCCATTTTGCAATACGTTTCAGAGTGTGTTTTAATGAACAGTTTAAACCAATCTAAGACCATAAAAATGTTAAAAGGAGTAGACCTGGTCTCCCCTCTTGCTCGCCACTCTCTGTCCCTGCCTTGCCCAGCCCTAACAACCACAAGGTCAGTGGGCAGCTGAGTCAGATCCCCAGTCTAGATGATTTATTTTTTTTAGCAGAGTTGTTTTTCAGCCTCCGAGGATCAAGCTGAGCATACTCATTGCATGTCTTCCTGGTCTTAAACCTGTGCCAACGGGAGCACATGGCCATGGGGAAGAGCAGGGATGGCTCCATTGAGGTTCTGGTTTCAGATTAGTTTGCACCAGTCGTGAGACTGCACCACAGGCCATGGCAAGTCAATGTTTGCACTCTACTGCTGGTTCACTGCTGCATCTGGAGCGTTCCCTGAACAGCCAGATAGCAGTATTGTCTCTCTGCCACTTGTGTGTCTCCTGCAGATGAAGAATCTGAGAAAGAAGGTCAAAACTCCATTCACATGCTTTCATTTACTGGCATGGGAGGAAAGCTTTAAAATTTCTACTTAGTTACTGGTATAAGCAGGATATATAATTAGGACTTCAGGGGGAGACAACTGAGGTAAATATGAGTACAGGAACTCCCGGTGTCATGGGACACCATTAAGACCTTATTTGACATGCACTGAAAATATTCTTCAAAGAGTTTTTTTAAAGGAAAAGGTTTTAACAAAATTGTTCCTTTGCTGAGAGGCAGCACAACTGGATCAAATTAAATAAAACCTGAATTTTAAAAGCATCTTGTGATTTGAGATACTGCAGAGAGCCTCTTTAAAAGGTATCCAAGACTAAGCATCCATCAGCTGAGGAAATCCCTAACACTAGGGGCTTTAGAAAAATCTAAGCATTCATATTTGAACTGTTTCTCCATACAGCTGGAAATCTACTGTAAACAGTGCCTAAACAACTTGGCCAAAGTAATTTAGGGAATCAGAACTGATGACTGCTAATACGAGCTCAGGTTTCTAGCCAAATGCCCAGAATGCTAACGTTTGGCTTTACTGTTTTGTGTTTTTCCTTGATTCTCTGCTGTGAGGTGCAGTGGGGGAACAGTAAAGCACTGATGACTTTTAACATAACAGTGCTGCTCTGGTTCTTACGAAGGACCTGTTTTTTGCTGAAGCTTAGGGATACAAGTACAAACCACATGATACCATATGAGAAGTCATTTTTGGCTCTCTCTCACTTTAAGAGCCCATTGCACATGGGAGGTTAAGGAGGGTGTGAATAACCCCGTTTCTTTTTTGGAGGAGTGACACAGTTGCAGATGTTGGATGCCAGAATGGCTCTGTTATTAGTTGTGTGTTACTGTTACATCTGCATACCACAGCCATAGGTCAGCACTCCATTCTGCCAGCGCTCTGCACTGTAGGAAGATGCCGGTTGCTGACCTGGAGATTTGTCTTACTCTTAGATTCTGAGAACAAGATGGCTGGATACAGGAAGACGGGACTGTGCAAGAATATAATTATTGATGAGCAAAATAACCAGTTCTCATGGTTGCAACCTCCCTGGCAGCAGAGAAAATAGAGAATTTGAATCTGAAATTTGAATTTGAAAGAGACACAAAGTGGCTTTGTGAATGCTTATGGGAGAGCTGTGCCTAGATGAAACAAGTAAGTAAGAAAAAAAAAAGGATAGATAACTTTTCAGATAATTTTTTTTTTTTTTAATTAGCTACCTCCCAAAAGAGTTACTTCAGAACCCTGACTGTAAGTCTTCTGGGGCTAACATCAACATTTCAGTTTGGACAGGAGTGAGCTTTTGAAGCAGGCCTTCTAATTGTCCCCACTTGGAGCACATTGGTTTACCATGCAGACTGGTCACTGAGCACATGAACTGGATCCTTCTTGAGTGAAACTAAATCAGAAATATGTTCCATCTGCTAGTGAAGGGGGTAGATGTACAGAACCAGATAAAAGATAATCTAAAATAATTACCACTCCCGCAAATATATTTAGCATGGAGTCAAAGTCCTCAAAACCAATTGTTTTACTCTACAGATCCACTCCTATTGCATGGTATTACTTGCTTGTGGTAGACATAAATTAACTTGTTACTTTGATTTTTTTTGCTGAAAGGAATACAGCTTTTTGGTAGACTTTCAAGTGCTGTTTGCTTCTATTTCTTAAACATGTTCATATCCAATTATCTGTAATGCTTCAGTGGCATTTGCTCAGGTAGCATTATAGACTTTGCTTAGTATTTCCAGTGAAATTGCACATATTTCAGGACAAAATTTCTGGATCCACAGTAAGCATTTTGTAAGCTAAAATGATGTATTGAAGGTAAATCTCAAATGCCTACTCAGCATTTTGGCAGTGGGACATATGGAAGCACACAGTTAAAGACAGTGAAGGTCAGAAATTCTGTCTCAGGGGATTTTGAATTGAAATGTGAGAGTTTTAAAAAATATGCTACAGGTTTGAAGTGAACATTTGGAAACACTTTTCCTTCTTTCCCATGTGTGGCCATGGAGTCATTCATCAGTTTGTCCACCGCACTTATTTGGCTCCGCAATGGAAATATCTAGGGGCAGTATACTGTTGATCTTGTGTGTGTTTTATTAAGGCCTAGCACGCTCTCAGATCCCACAGAAGAGTTCAGAAGAGAAATATTCTGTTATCATGGGGAACACAAAGAGCTGAGCTGGTGGACTGAAATGTGGAAACATTCCGCTGTCTCCACACACTCAGGGAAAGGGAAGGGAGGAATTTACCACGAGTTGTTAAAGGGTAATGTAGCACTCTGACAATCAACCACAAGGAAGAAGAGGGCCCCAGAGAGGTGAAACCTGGTTCTTCCCTCAGACTTTTCCTTGGACTGGTACAGTTACCCACAGCCTCTCCTGTAGTGCTGTGTCTTAAGGCTTATAAATGTAGGAGATGGTAGGTGGTCAGAGAGGGTGGTCACAGAATAATGCCAGTTTCATTGGGACTGAACTCCCACAAGAATTAAGGGCAATAAATTTCACCACCTTTTACCACAAATCCCAGGCACATTTATTCAACAAAGCTTTTGTAATACAATACAAATAAGTAGCAATGTGGGCATTTAGTAGCAAGGAAAACCAAAAAAGTAATGCCACAATTAAAAGCACAGAACCCTCCTCTTAAGAAGGGATAAAAGAATACTAAACACCATTTCACAGGATTCACGCCACACTTGTAATTCATTCTTAGGACTTAAAAATGTGCCATGAAGACAATAAAGCTATTTTAATATAAGAGAATACTCAAAATACATTATATTTAAGTAGTATTTTTCTAAGTAACTGATAATGGCATGTGTGTGTTGTTCACATAACAATACAAAATTAAGTCTGTGTAAAGACCGTTTCTGAGTGGGGTAGGGCAGCATGTAATAATATGCCATGGTGCCTGGTTTTTTTCAGACATCAGCTTGTCCCTCTTTTTTCTGGGATAACAGCAGCTTGCAGGAAGCCTGAAGTAGTGCCATAGTACATACTGTCTCAGAGGAAAGCGAGCAATCATCTGCTGATACTGAAATCTTGCAAGTGCTGGGCAGTGAGCTGATTTGGGAGTTGGTGCCATACAAGAAGGTGCAATACTATTCAGGATTCTCATTTCTTTGCGTTTAGAATGCAGCAGGACCTTGGTAATGCCTACTAAGTGATCTTTCTGCATAAGGCACAGACTTCCAATGGGTCTTTGCCCAGTCTCCTGCTAACAGGATCATGTTTGATCACTTCAGAAATTCTTACTAGCAGAGAGAATTTGTGTTAAAAGAGAAGGAAAAACAAACTTCTTTTTGGCACAGGTGTTGCTGCTGAGCTAAAAGAAAAGAAGACTCCTTACAAAAATTAGTGAATAAACTGGACAGCAACTGACGTGTGGTTGATTGCATAGAGTAATGCTGAAATACTCATAAGGGTTACAGCATTCTGCAAACTGTTTTTGTCATGGGAAAGTGAAGGCCAGAAGCACTCAGAGTATATCTGCACTTTCAGCTGGGTGAAGCCATATCTAACTAAGCTTTACTCCAGAAAATGCTGTGGAGTTCTGTGGAAGTGGGAAATTGGCTACATTTCTAGATATTTTTTAAAGATAGGAAATATTTGGGTATGTGTATGTGTGCACACTGCCTTCCACCAAAATTGTCCTTTTCTCCCCAAAAAGAAGCAGAAATGAAAAGAATAAGCAAAGGAACATGGAAAAAACACATTTCATAGCTAATAGATGCTGTTTCTTGTGATGTCCTGAGTTACAGTTTGTTTGCTGAAGGATGAACTGTGAAATAATTTCTGTGCCATTTTGCTATACACAGCTGTATGATATCATCTGAACTGACCACACCAATTCAGGATATTGATTTGCAAGGAATTAACAGAGTTACCAGAGCCAACTCTTACTCTGCATAAGCAATCATGCCATACATTTCCACCCAAACTCATCAGATTTCACTTTCAAAACCATTAACTAGGTTTGACTTGCTATTTATATTGGGAAACCTCCATTTGCTCACAATTACCCAAATTTGAAATATCTGAATGAAGTGTTGTGAAAACAGAATCAGAGTTTCTGGACCATTCAGCTCAAGACAACAACAAACCTGCTCAGTAAGTCCATAGCAAAGTATTACACAACAGGAGATACAAGGTCCTTGTAGATTGTTAGTACAACAAAAGAGCTTTGGCAGGCAGAACATTATTTTAATTTA